GTGTGTGTGTGTGTGTGTGTGTGTGTGTGTGTGTGTGTGTGTGTTACAGCACGCATATGGATATCAGAGGACAACTCAGAATAAAGTATGTTCTCTCTTTCACTGTGTACTTCCCACAGAAGGAACTCGGTCTTCAGACTTGGTCGCAAGTGCCTTTACCCACTGAGCATATTAGATTCCAATTTCATAAGTCACAATCTTTTTTTATATTTATTTTTAATGTTGTGTATGGTGGCATGCTGTAAGGGTGCACATGCATGCAGTTGCTCATGAAGCCCAGAAGAGGGAGACAAATATCCTGTAGCTGTAATTAGTTGTCTGCAGTCAAAAACAGATGCTGGCAATGAGGTCCCCTAAAAGAAAAATACACATCCTTAACCACTGAGCCATTGCTCCAGTCCCACCTTTTTTCTTTTTATACATATATTCTTTTTTTATGTGCATGGGTGTTTTGCCTGCATCTATGTATGCACACCACATGCATGCTTAGTGCCCATGGAGGTTAAGACAAAAGTATTGAATACTCTCAAACTGGAGTTACAGATGGTTGTGAGCCACCATGTGGGCACTGGAAACAGAGCCCAAGTGCTCTGCAAGAACAAAAAATACTCTTGACAACTGATCCACATCTCTAGTACTCCACCCATTTTAACATGTGTGCACACATGAGCACATGTGCATACACGCATATACAGAATGGTTCATAGGGGCTCACAGAGACAGAAGCAGAAATCATGGATCCTAAATGGGTTTGCACTAGGTCCTTTGCATATATATGTGGTTATTTAGGTTGGGAATTTTGTAGGACACCTAACAGTGGGAGTAGGGTTGTCACTGACTTTTTTGCCTGCTCCTGGTACCCTTTTCCTCCTACTGGGACTGTTGCAGTGAGACAAATCTACTTTATTGTTTCAAGGATGGGGTATATAAGGGCTTCTGGGTGTACAAGTGGAGAGGGTTAATTGGGCATAACATCATGTGGGAAGGAAGAGCTGATTGGTTATAATATAGCACCTAATTATCATGGGGGCAAGAAGTCAGAATGGGACTTGTGCTCTGAGTTACAGTGATTGCAGTCAACTCTTTACAAGTAGGTCATTTATTCAGACAAGGTCAGCCACCCGTGCTAAGGGACATTCTCCAGACAAAGGCAGAGAAAGAGAAGCCCCACTGAGGAAGGGAGTCCTCCATTTTATGCAGAGCTCAGAAAGCCATCTAGACATGAAGGACTGTGACCTTGATGGCAGGGTTCTCCCACAATGTGTGTATATGCACATATCTGTATGTGCAGAGGTGCACATGAGGGGAAGGGGCCCATGTGCATGTGTGCATGTGCCTACGGAGGCCCAAGGTTGGCACTGAGAGTCTTCTTTCAATGCTCTCCTCTTGTTCCAATTTGATTTCTCTTGCTGTAGTTAAAAACTTGGTCCAAAAGCAACTTTGGGGAGGTAAAGATTGTTTGGCTTATACTTCCAGACCACAGTCCACCTTTAAGGAAAGTCAGGAGAAGACGTCAATCTAAAAACTTAAGGCAGGAACTGTGGAAGGGATACTTTTTGCTGGCTTCCTCACAGGCTTGCTTGCAGACCCATGCTTCACTAGTTGTATATAATAGGCCAGGCCCACCTGTCCAAAGAATGGTGCTGTCCACAAGGAGAAGAGCCCTACATCCATTCAACAATCAATCAATCTCTCTCTCTCTCTCTCTCTCTCTCTCTCTCTCTCTCTCTCTTTCTCTCTCTCTCTTTCTCTCTCTTTCTCTCTCTCTCTTTCTCTCTCTCTCTCTTTCTCTCTCTCTGTTTCTCTCTCTCTCTTTCTCTCTCTCTCTCTTTCTCACACAAACATACACCCATACACACACATGTACCTATACGCCAATTGTATCTAGTAACTCCTCAATTAAGATTTTTTTTCCTTTCATACCACTCCAGGTTGAAAATTAGAGCTAATACGACTCCTATGGGGGAATATGGACCCTGAACAAGCCATCTATTATAACTAGGCAAGACTTCCAGTGGAGGGATAGGGACACCAACCCAGCTACAAAACCTTCAACCTACAGTTTCCTTTGTCCTGCTTACAAGATGTGAGGGGTAAAGATGGTACAGAACTTGTGGGAATAGCCAACCAATGACTGGTCCAACTTAAGACACATACCAAGAGCAGGATCCCACATATGACACTCCCTGGAGGACCAGGAATCAGAGGTAAGATAGCCCAGAGACCTAAGATAGAAACAAATATCACAAGCAAAAAGAAAAATAAATAAACAATCAAACAAAAAGTCAATGAAATTATTCCTAATGATCTTCTATACTTGTAGACTAGCCTAACATAGTCATCATCAGATAGGTTTCATCCAACAGCTGATGGAAACAGATGCAGACATCCCCAGCTGTTGAGGGATCTTGCAGAAAAAGTGGAGAAATGATTGAAAGAGCCAGAGGGGCCAAGGACAGACACCACAAGAAAACCTACAGAGTCAACTAATCTGGACCCATAGACGCTCACAGAGACTGAAGAACAATCAGGCAGCTTTTGTGAGTGTGACCTAGGTTCTCTGCATATATGTTATGGTTGTGTAGCTTGGTATTCTTGTGGATCTCTTAACAGTGTCTGCTTTCGGAACTCTTTTCCTTCTACTGGGTTGCCTCATCCAGCCTTAAAATGAGGGATGGTGCCTAGTCTTATTGCAACTTGATATGCCACCTTTGGTTGATATCCCTGGGAAGCTTGCCCTTTTCTGAAAGGAAAAGAGGAGTGGATCGGGATGGGATAAGGGACTAGGGAGGAGGTACTTCAGTCTGGACATAAGATACGAAAGAAGAATAAATTAATAAAAAAAAAACAAGGCTAACCAGCATCACCTCATACATTGAAGCAAGGGCTCTCAGTTGAAACCAGAATGAACCAATATGGCTATTTCTAGGCATCCCCTGTCTCTGTCTCCCAAGGACAGAATGACTGGATGGCTGCCACACCCACATGAGATTTGAGGATCTCAACTCCAATCATCTCCACAGCCCTGGTTGTTTTCT